AAAGAAGCGTCATAGCAACACACATGCTTCATTTGCCTGACATGGGTTGATATTTCACATAATTCCCCTTATTTTCTTCTTGATTTCATCAATGTGAAACATGTATTTGGAGATGCACCAAGGCACGAAAAAGTGTAAATGCGACACAAAATTTGTTTGGATAAAATTGCTTGTTTTACGTGTTTTTCTGATGACTCTGCTTTGCCTGAATAGCAGATTCAGACAAAACACTACGTTTATGTATTTATTTTTTTATTTTTGCAGGTTTTGCACATTAGCTAGTTGTGCAAGGAGCCTTTTTGTTGTGACGCAGTCCGTAGCAGCTTGTTTCACTGCTCTGTATGCTTGTGGGTGTTCGGCATGTGTCACTACATAAATTGTTAAAAATGACTGTACTTCCTCAGGAAACTTGGGGAGGCCGAGCCGTGTTGCGATGTGTTTTGCTTTTAATTGCGCAGAGGAGTGACAACAAAAGCATTCGCACCGGATGGAAACAGACCCAACCTGGCTCGGGTTGCGCACGGCCTGAAACAGGAAGCTCCAGCGACGAGTAATTAACGACTGTCCAGAACATTACTGGGAGCCCGTGAAGCAAACATCAATTATATCAGCGAGGTCATGTGTCTTTGCAGGGCCCAAAGGCTGCTAAGAGACAAAAGCCACTACAGCTACAGTCTCTGCACCCAGCTGCTGTTTGATAAATCAGAAGGACTGCCCTAACAGTGCACTGTATTTTCTGAAGCTGTAAAGGCAATTTCCTTTCAAACTAAGTGTGCTTTTCTTGTTTTTCATTTTCAATTTTCTTGACTTGCAGGGCTTTGCAAGTATTGACACCACCTGATTCTGTTACAAACCCTAACCTCAAAGTATTATCAGAGCTTTATGTGATAAAAACTAACGTCCCCCTGAGTCTGAGTGGCTCCCCCACTTTTGTGTTCGTTTTTACGTATTTCAATTTGTAAAGATTTGACATTCCCTCCAAAGGTGGGAATCCAGTTTGGAGCCAAACTGCTGTCATAAATATTAGATCATTTTCTCTCCATACAAAATAACCCACAAGTGACAATTTCAGATGTTCTTTGTATCACAAACAAGGACGCCGGGGTTGGACTTGCTGGGTCATCTTGGAACCTGCTGATAATTGCTTGTAGTTCCAGTTTGATTTGAGCTGGAGAAGAAAAATATCTGATACTTCCAAGACTGATAATTGAAGAACGAAGTTGGCCCCACCTGGCGTAGGGTTATTTTTCTCTAGCAAACACTTACTTTGGATGAATTTTTTCCTTCCACTTCCCAATCGTGCGCCGCTCAGTGCAGGTTTAGCACATAAATTCCCAATGAAACAGTAGTCGCAGCATGATAAACTATCAATCCATGTGAATGCACAGCGCAGCTCCTGAAAACAAACAATGCAGACACAAACTTGAAATTGTGTCTGAATGTAATTTATTGGTAGGATTGTGTCCCACAACCCCCCCGCCCCCAAGGTGGCTGGCCACTAAGAATAAACCTCAACTCTGGTTCATTTTTTGCCTGTTTTCCAGTTATTGGATTTTGTGACCGGCACTAATATCAAGCAATAAACCGAACTCGAGGTGGAGCTGCCCTTTTCATTTAACTCATTTGGCCATTTATACACCTATTCACGTCAACTTCAAGCCCACTTTGAACCCATTAGGGCTGGAGATTTGCTTTTTGAGCCGCTCGTCTCCATCTTAATGCAATTCAAAGACCTACATTTTAAACGAGAGCTGCTGTGGCAACAAAGTCCCCCCCCCCTCTCCCAGAGACGCCGAGAGCTCAGTGGAGTATCCTTGATGGTGTGGCGGAAAGTGCTCAGGCACAGATGGTCCTGTGAGAAACCATGAGCCTCGTGTCCTAGTTAGCACCGGAATACTAACGCGGTCGAGCGAGGTCACTAATGTGTCGGAGTTTAACACGGCTTAACCAGCTCTTATGTAGGGAATCTAACTCACAGACAGGATGAGGCATACTCCAGGTCCCCCCCAAGTCTCGCTCACTCTGTCACACTTTGCTGCCAGAGGTAAAAAGCGTCGCAAATAAATTTATTCTGAAGGGGGTGCCTCATAAATCATCCAATACCAATAGTGTGTTTCTCTTGCACGAGGCTTAATCTCACAATATTTGTAGCTGATTTCAGGAAACGACTGTGTGCGTGCATGTGTATATATGTCCATGCTGCACTCCACTGGTCCAGTTTAAGAAAGTTACATATCAAGGAGTCAGAGTAAGGTGAGAGAAAAGCGCACACACATAAAACCAAGAAGAGGTCTGCCTCCAGTTCTTCTCTCAGCACTAATGGTCAAGAGAAATGTGGGATGAAGTCCAGACAGTGCTGCCAGCATTGAGTAAATTTGATCAGCAGTCTTTGATAAAACTCTCCCACCGGCCTGAACCTGCGCTACAAGCTGCTCCGGCGGCCTTCAATAATGATATCATAGGAGCCCAGATTTTAATGAGAGCTCTGATTGGGTGGCAGTAGTTCGTGGCTAACAAGATGCCCTGTTGTCTGCTAGTTGCCATCCAGTCTGCAGTGTGTTGTCGCAGGCGTGCGTGTGTGAGTGCAGCCGCGTCTCGCGAATTCAATTTAGGTCAGAGTCAAATGATAGCAAAGCACTTGCAGTCTTATTTGTCTCACTGCATCATCAGATCGTCTTTTTTTTTTCTTTTTTCCTTAATAGAGACAACACATGAAAGAGGGAAAGAAAACTGGCCGACGCCAACTTTTTAATGAAATTTGATATGTGACATTTAAAATGCCGCATGAGTCATGCAGCGAGAATTCAAATCATATTCAGAGCCACTGACAATCTGTGCATTCATTACTATTGCTTTGACTCCTTCAGTGTGCTGGACGTAATTGATAGCACTTCTGGTAGAGGGATGTAAAAGTAATACATTTTGATTTTATGCAGCAGCATACAGTCCATCCTCACCTACTTATCGTAGCAGGGATGCAGGGGGGCGGATGCCAATCTCCAGCAGTCGTTGGGTGAAGCTGTGAGAATCTTTGAAAAATCTTCCATTTCATTTGCGTACATTTGTTCAGGAAGGAAAAACTTTCAGTGAGTGAAATAACTTTTTCTTTCTTTTGACAAAGTTTTGGATCTATCACTTTTGTATAAAGTGTAATGTCAGCAAAACACACATTCTAAAAAAAGAAAGTGATAATCTTTGGGGCCCCGGTAAGTCTGGCCCTGCCAAATCCACACGCATTTAAGTGAGTATTTGCACCTCACTTAATAAAAAAAGGAATATTAAATGCAGTGAAATATTGCACCTAAGCAGTCCTTCCCCAGCAAAATCCAGCATAAGGAGCAGGGTAAACCGATCTGCCGCAGCAGGAATTACTGCTGGAGCAGGACCACAACCAGGCCATGAGGAAACCCAAAGGGCTGCAGAGAACCTGCACAAACTTCTCTGCTTTTGTTGACACCACTTGAACGTGAAATTTTATCGAACATTCGGATGACGAACATGCTTTGGCGAAAGACTTGCCGGGTATTTTAAAAGGTGCCCATGCATGTGCTGTGAGGTTCTTTGGCAGGGTCTTCATGGTTTGTCGCACGTCAAGCCAAAACAAAGCGTTGGTCATTATAGAGCTCCATCTGGTCTGACTACTGTTTAGCAAATATAGTGTTTCCACGTCTGTGATGAATAAAAGGGCTGTAAAATCACGGCACCTAGCGGCACAAATCCTGAAAGACCCGCAGAAAATCCTTAGACAACTCCTCCTCGGTCAATTAGAATAATTATGCTGAATGTGGCTTTGGATTGGCACTCCAGACCTGGAGAAGGAGGAGGAAAAAAATCACCTTGTGAGATTAGATGGAGTGGCAGGCTGCAGAAGCCCATGTGCCAGGCTGCAAACCTAGACAGAAAAAGTAAGTTGGCATTTCTCTACCTAATCAGCATCTACAGACTCTCACATCAGCAATCAAGCTTAAGGCATTTGCAGTTGAGGTCGATGCCAAAGAGGCTAACACGACTGGCAAAATGGCATTAGTTTATGTTTCACCGGGAGAGGGGGGGCGCTCCTAGTGCTCCTGCAACCAATGATCTCTTCTTAACCCCGGTCACCAGATGCGAGTTCTTTCACAGGCTGAGATCGAGTCCGGCGGTAACAGGCGCTTAAATTCCGTGTCAAAGGGAAGGGGGAAGAAAGGGAAAGAAGAGGGAAAAAAAAAAAAAACCTTGGTATTTTACTCTATGTTGCATGCCTTTGTGTTTTGTGTATGATGTAAAGCACTTTGAAATGCCTTGTAGCTGAAATGTGCTATAAAAATAAAATTTGATTGATTGATTGATTGATACCTCTAAAGGGGAATCAGAGAGTCAGAACATCCCTAAAAACCCGAGAATCATCTAGGAAGTCCTTCCAGAGACGGATTCGAATCAACTCCTGTTCGCTTTGTTTTTTGTTGTTCTGATTTATATGACAGGTTGCTGTCTAATATTTCGCAGCACCCGGCAGCAGAACGTGAAAATGTTCCAAAAATCCCCCAGTCCTGTTTGACAGGCGCCCTTTTTTCCACTTTAATTCCTCCACCCCGATGTGAAACGCAGTCTGGGAAAAAACAAATACACTTTGTTAGATGATGGTATGGTTGCCTGTTATAGGCGCTGTGATCACTCAAGCTGCTATATTATGTGGTGGTGATGCAGCTTCCAAAAAGAAAAAAAAGAAAAAAACATTCTGTTATTTCCATTAAAAAGGCTTGCAGAGGCTTCTTACCGTACAGGCACAGCCTTTCATCATCTCAGGTGCCATTATTTCAGCAAAGCTCTATTTCATTTTGTGATTGATGGTTCCCTGGCAGTCTTAGCAATCTTGGTCAGACTCCGGATGTTTGCAGCAGGCTCTCATAAAAGGCCATAATGCTGTTTATTAATTCAAAGATCTCTTCTTTTTTTTTTTTTTTTTTTTTTACTCACCGTCTCTCTTATTTGTTTTTCTTCTCTGTCTGCCTCTCACACAGTGCCTGGAAAATAATCACCAATGGACCGGCTGGTTCTTTGCGTGCTGCTGTGCGCAGCTCTGGTGAAAGGCTACAGCTGCCCCGGCCGCTGCATCTGCCAGCATCTCTCGCCCACTCTGACTCTGCTCTGTGCAAAGACCGGCTTGCTGTTTGTGCCCCCCACAATCGACCGGAAGACCGTGGAGCTGCGGCTCACCGACAACTTCATCACCATTATCCGTAAGAAGGACTTCCTCAACATGACCAGCCTGGTCCACCTCACCTTATCCCGCAACACCATCAGCCAGATCGTGCCGCACGCCTTCCTGGGCCTGCGCTCGCTCCGGGCGCTCCACATGGATGGGAACCGGCTCAGCATCATAAAGAGCGACCACTTCAAAGGCCTCATCAACTTGCGGCACCTCATCCTCGGGAACAACCAGATCCACCAAGTGGCCTCGACCTCCTTCGACGAGTTTGTCGCCACCATTGAGGACTTGGATCTGTCCAACAACAATCTGCGCAGCCTTCCTTGGGAGGCCATAGCCAGAATGACTAACATTAACACGCTCACCTTGGACCATAACCTCATCGACCACATAGAAGCAGGGACTTTCACTTTGCTCACTAAGCTCGTCCGCTTGGACATGACTTCCAACCGGCTGCAGAAGCTTCCACCAGACAGCCTGTTCCAGCACGCCCAGGTTCTATCCGACGCCAAGGGCTCCAGCTCATCCACACTGGCAGTGAGCTTCGGCGGGAATCCCCTCCACTGCAACTGTGAGCTGCTGTGGCTGCGCCGGCTGACGCGGGAGGACGACTTGGAGACCTGCGCCTCGCCGGAACACCTCATGGACAAATATTTCTGGTCGATACAGGAGGAGGAGTTCATCTGCGAGCCCCCGCTGATCACCAAGAACTACTCCTCTAAGCCCTATGTGATGGAGGGCCAGGGTGTGACTTTAAAGTGCAAAGCCATGGGGGATCCAGATCCAGACATTCACTGGAGGTCACCAGACGGCAAGCTGGTGCACAACAACTCACGCACCATCTTGTATGACAACGGCACCCTTGACATTCTCATCACCACGCTGAAGGACAGTGGGTCGTTCAACTGCGTGGCGTCCAATGCTGCCGGCATCGCCACGGCTGCTGTGGAGATCAGCATGATCCCCCTGCCCTTGTTCGTGAACAACACCGGCCACATGCGCGAGGACCCCGGCCTCTCCGACATCACCACTTCCTCCAAAGCTGGCAATGACACAAAAGGCTACGACAAGCAGGACAAGAGGGTCCTGGTCACGGAGCTGACCTCGTCCTCCGCCGTGATCCGCTGGCCGTCTGAACGCCACATCCCTGGGATCAGGATGTACCAGATTCAGTACAACAGCACTGCAGATGATACGTTGGTGTACAGGTAAGCCAGGGTGGAGGCAGGATGAGCAGTGAGAGAAAAGTGTGTTCCAGTAGACCAGTGTTTCTCAATCCTGGTCCTCGGGGACTACCGCCCTGCATATTTTAGATTCCTCTGTTCCAGAACGCCTGATTCAAATGATTGACCTCCTCCGCATGCCACCTAGTGCTGCAGAACCTTGTAAATCACCGACTTATTCAAATCAGGTGTGTGGCAGAAGGGAAACACCTAAAACATGCTTGGCAGCCGTCCCAGAGGAACGGGACTGAGAAAACATTGCAGTAGAAATTAGGTGTTGGAATCCCCAAGATTACTTATCAATGTTTTTATCTATTTAGGGTCACAAATTAACAAAGTAAGGAGCGAACGAGTCCAGAACTCTTGGAGAGCGTTTATTTCTTTTCATTGAAAAAAGAAATAAATGCAAGTGCCATCAAATTGATTTATTGTGTTCCCCGCTTTGGCTCCAAAACTGAGTGAATTGTTGCAAATGATTACATTGTCCAAGTACCCCAAAGAGCCAAATGGTCTTAATCAGCATCATTAGAATGTAATATGACGGCAACAATAGCACAATACGTATTTCATTCCATGCAACTGTATCATTAGAAAGGGTTGGAAATAATTGGCTGCAGCACAGAAATAAATGAGAAAAACTCTGTAAAGCTGAGGTTTGTTGTAGAGGATTCACATCATTTGCTTATTACAAATTGAAAACAGAACTAACACATTACAGTAACAAGTTAAAACAATGAAAGAACAGACTGGCCTTGAGAGAATTAATAAGCTTTAGGTTGACAAATTGCTTCTTTTTTTCCCCCCTTTGGTATTATTCTCTCTCTAACACCCAAAAGGTTACAAATTACGGCTTAAACCTTTAATATTTTGCTTTCTGAGTCGGATGTGAAAAGCATATTAGCTGCACAAATACCCAAGATAAAGCGCAATAGTAAATGTTTTTCTTTGTCTTGTTCAACTTTAGATTTCTTTTTTTTTTTTAACAAATAGAAATATTGCATGCACCAGTATCGGAAGGTAAAGACCTTTGCAGAGTAGCTTTTTGTTGCAACAACAGTTGTACAGTTTTTGATGCATGCTTCATGCTTCAACCAGCTTTCTAAATTGATTTGTGAAACTATAGAAAATTTATAAAAAGTTTGTTTTCAAGTTTTGACACATATTTTTACATGAAAATATGTCCCTCAGTCTGAAGTCTTTTTTTTATCATTAAAAGGTTGATGACATTGCCCCCCATCACATTTCAGAATCTAGATGTTATTGGTTTTAACTCTATTAATTTATTAATTTAGCTCTATCTACCAATAAGGCATATCGCTGCATTTAATTTTATTCAGTAAAGAGTAAAGAAGACTAAATATATATGCACAACATGTTTTTCTCTCCATGTTTTTATTTGTAAAAAAAAAAAAAAAAACTTGGAACATTTTTCTTCCACTTCATTTTGTTGCTCAACTTATTGTTGATCCATCATATGTAATTCCAGAAATGAAAAAAAAGAAATCCACCTATGTACGTAGTAGTAACATGACAAACTGTGATAAGGTTCAATGGGTGGGAATACTTTAGGCAGGCAATGTAATTACCGAAGTACAACACAAGCACTTAAAATCCAGACCCAAGTGTTGGCAATTAGCTGTGACTAAATTATAGGATTAAAACGACACCATGTTAATACAGAATCGTAATTTCTTTCCGCAATCTAAATGTGAGTGCGTTGCTAATGTTTTGTCACAGTAAAAAAAAAAAAAAAAAAAATTATGTACAGTTGAATTTCATAGTAGATAGGAAAAAATGAAAATTGAATAGCTTTTAGTGTCGACTTACAAAGGCTTATGCCGGAGTAGAAATATCTCTCTCCCTCAAACACGGGGCTGAAAGTACCAATAGAAAGTCTTTTGATTAAGCTTCATGTGTTCCTTTTGAATTCTGTGACCCAAATTTACTGTATTTCAGGTTTTCATTTTGGCAGAGCAAACTAATAATAGTGGTTTACATGCTTTCATTCGCTCCCTTTTTTTTTTTTTTTTTTTTTAGCTTTTATCAGGTATAATGAGTAGCCCTCTCGTATAATTTCCTCATTCAGTTTCAGCGTGTGTTATTTTGTGTTTAGGTGGTACATTATTACCCACAAAATGATAACCATCAAAGTCCGCCTTTAGGGAAAAGGAGCAGGCTTCTAATTATATTAACGGCAACGTTGACCCGAAGACAATGCCTTTCTCTTGCGTATTTAGCGTAATCTTGCACTTGACCTCGGGTAATCACACAACAAAACACCCTCTTCCCAGCGCTCATCACTTGTCCTGCAGCCTGCAGCTGTTGGAGGGAGACAATAAAGCGTTTTTATACTTCAACACCTTTGCCTTGGTTTTATAAACAAGCCTTAAAGAGCGTATGCTATTTTTTTTTCATATGATGCCTTGCCAAAGTGTTCAGAACCCTTGAACTTTTTCTCGTTCTGTCACACAGTGGCCACAGGTTTCAGTTTGTTCTGTTGGGATTTTGATGCAAATTATGGTCAGGTGGAAGGAAAGTCGCCATTACTCTGATACCCCTAAAGGAAATTCCTCAGAGTTTTCGTAGAGCTCGAATAACACAGCGGACAGATGAGGAGTGAAGATGTGGAAAGGTGAAGATGTTACCAGATTTCAACAACTAACATGGCACTTCAGACGCCCGTGGAAACCCTGGCGGTATTGTTAGTCTCGAATGCTACAAATCTGGCCTTCATGGAAGGGGGTGAAAGAAAAAAAGTCGTAGTCAAAAGAAAGTGATTAGAATCTTCCATCTACAGAAAAACATTCTCTGGTCATATGAGACAAAAAAAAATTATATTTTGACCTGTGCACAACACACTGTGTGTGGCAGAGTATTAAAGTCAGATAATCCTGAAAATACCGTTCTAGTGGTGAAGCGTGATGGTGAATATCATGGGTTTAAATGGCCCAGTCCAAGGCCTGACCTAAATTCAACTCTTTTCAAGACTTGAAAATTCCTGCTCATTGGTACATGTCATCCAATCTGGTGTGGGTTGAATTGCCAAGGCAGTAAGAACTGTTCAGCAGGAGGAGGTTCACCCCAGAAGACTTGGAGGGGTTGAATATTAAATGCACTTTTAGTGATTTCTATCACTGTCTGCAAATCGGTATGCGTGGCTGTCGGGCTTCCATTTTTATGAGGCCTTTACATCATAACCACTGCACCGTTTTTCTCTTCCTCCGCAGAATGATCCCGTCTACCAGCAAAAACTTCCTCATCAACGACCTGGCTGCGGGGCGGGAGTACGACCTCTGCGTGCTGGCCGTGTACGACGACGGCATCACGTCGCTGACGGCCACGCGCGTGGTCGGCTGCGTGCAGTTCCACACGGCCAACGAGGTCAGCCAGTGCCGCTTCATGCACAGCCAGTTCCTGGGAGGCACCATGATCATCATTATTGGCGGCATCATCGTCGCTTCCGTGCTGGTGTTCATCATCATCCTGATGATCCGCTATAAGGCCTACGGCAGCCCCGTGGACACCAAGGCCAAGGCCAGCTCCGCCATGCACTCGCAAACCAACGGCAGCCAGCAGCGGCTGCAGCGCTCTGCGTCCAAGCAGCCGTCTGACGAAGGCGAAGCGCCGGCGCCCAAAGAGTGCCTGGCTCTGGTGTTGAGGGTGGACAGCGAGAAGAAGGAGGACCTGGCGTCCGCGACGGCAGTCCTGGAAGTGGAGCCGCTCCCAAATGCGGACAAGATGATGAAGAGAAGGAGCAGTCTGGATGCTCAGCGCTCCGGGCCGCCATCTGAGGACACACAGACGGACAGCAGCCTGACCGGCTCCACCATGTCCCTCTGCCTCATCGGCTCCAATGCCGGCACTAAGGAGGCTCCCAGGCTTAAGGACAAGAAAAGCACCCTGGCCAGCGTGGGGCTACTCCCCAACGAGCTGGCACGAACTAGGCATAGATTCTCTTTCGATGGTGGGGATTACTCCATATTTCAGAGTCACAGTTACCCGCGCAGAGCGAGGACGAGGTGGCACAAGTCCACCAACCAGCTCAACACGGAGTCATCGCCGCTCGCCAACAGGAGAGTCACATTCAGCAGCACTGAGTGGATGCTTGAGAGCACGGTTTGAGGAAAGCGGTGTAGCAAAAAAAAGAAAAAAACGAAATAAAAAGTACAAAGAAACGTTTAAAAAAAGGCACAAACGTAACATGTATAAACACAAAACGTCTACATGCCATACAGCACAACGATGATTAAAACCAAGCACATTTATGTACTCATGCTGACTTCCTGTGAGTTGCTGGAGGAGAACAGTATCCTGTCATCCTGCTTCCCCCCCATCGTGCTCCCAGAGGGGTTTATTTGGGCCATGCCTCTTCTTCTTCTTTGTTTTTTTTTTTTTTTTTTTTTTTTTTTTTTTTTTTTTTTTTTTTTTTTTTTTTTTTTTTTTTTTTTTTTTTTTTTGCAGCGGTGCCTTATTCTTTTAAATGTATGAATGGAGGATGCTGCTCACTGTAGTCACAAACCTCCCATCTTGATGGCGGTGGGAAGTGTTGTTTTAAGCTTTTCGGTTTTCACCGTTTTCTGTGGCACACCAATGGGGGGGCAGAGGAGTGCGGCATATGGATGTGACTGTTTAATTGTTAAAAAAAAAGAAGAATAATCATGAAGAAAAAAAACTTCATTAAGCAGTAACTTGTAAAGTGAACAGCCAGGTACCCTGTTATGTCAATCATGTTTTTTTTTAGTTTTTTGTTTTTTTGATGAGGAAAAAAAAAAACTTTTGCACAGAAGACACGAGATACGAGGACAAGTATCAACACCAGTCTATACAATATTAATAACAAAAAAAAAAGGGAGAGTTTTCTCTTTTTTTTCGAATGCTCATTTCTAATGTTAGTGCATAAAAAGGGTTTGATGTGAGAATCTGCCTGGACGGTCAGACTGTGCGATGTTGAATAGGTATTGTTCCAGATGTGACTGTATATTCATCGGTACTGTATCTGGCTGGCCTAGATAAAAGACGACAAACAAACAAACAAAAAAAGACATATATAAGTATATTAAAACATTGGTGTATGTGTACTAACTATGTAAAGTAAATAAGTCATACGTCACGTGACTTTTTACAGAGCATTTGGGTGTTGGCTGCAAGTTTTTACATTAAAAACCTGTCATCACACCTCTCAATATTTAGTATGTCCAAGTTTGAACCATTTATCCCCTCATGAAGGGTATTAAATTTTTTGTGTGGGTTAACTGTATCAGTTGTGCTTGTTTTTTTGTTGTTGTTCTGTTTTTGTTTGTTGTTTTATTTTTTTTTCTCGCTGTTGTCGTTGTGGTTGGATTATTTTAGGCCTTGTGCTGCTCCAGTGTCCGCTGTCGCGAGCGAGAGAGGGACACACGAATCAAAGTGATAAATATTTGATCCTTCAGTGCTATTTTTGAGGCTTTAGGTGAAAGCGTCGCAGCACCAATGGAGTGGAGTGGGATGTGTGACTGCGAGGGACAGGCCAACTGGACGTGCTGCCAAATCCAAAATGAAGCCAGGTGCCGTTACGCAACACCGTATGAGCAAATGTTCGCCACAAGGGGGAGACAAAGCTTTCCGGTGTCTCCAATTAGGTGCTTTCCTTGAGAAGTTATTAGTTCAACTTATGTAGAACATGTGGAATTACACAAATATATTGGCGATATAAATAAAGGGAGACAGATGGCAATGGGCAAGCGGAAACTTCCTTCCTGCTTCCTTCGCTGTGTGTGACACAGCGCCACCAGAGGTGAGACGCAGCACTGCACTTATTCGCTCCGGTCTTCTCACATACTTCCACAGCTGTTTTGACCTTAGACATGTTGCTGTTATCAGTAAATCATACAATTATGGAAAAGTGAAGTCATGTGGAAACATTAATTTTCTATCATCATTGTCAGCATTTTACTCACCTGCCTCTGCGGACCCTGTGTCACTGCCTTTCTGTTACTCTTTGAAATATAATTATGAAATCCAAATTAATGTGCACTACAGTAATGAATGCTATTTTAAGTAGCATTCCGGGCAGAGGTTAAGAGACTCTCATTAAAGGCATGAATCTTCATTTGCAGTTTATAGATCCCTTCCCCCACTGATCTTGTTTCAGGCTGAACTGATCAGATGACAATGCTAAAGATTTTTAATAACTAGAATAGAGTCGACAGTTTTTAAATTAATTAAATATCGTCTGCGATAAAAACAGATCCGTACTGCCCAAATGGTGTTTGGTCACCTTTTCCTCATTGGCGGCTGAGAGAACCTAGAAACGTCTGGGACAGAAACAACTCACAACACATCGAGGAGAAGGCGCTGACCAACCAAGAGGCTTCTGCTTCTTCTTGATCGATACCTTGAAACCGGAAGCTTTTAGAAACCCGCTGAGGGGCAATAATGGCTCTCAGAAGTACACACAACCGGGAAGAATTGCCTGGATTCTGTGATACAGAGACATTACACGGACATAAATTGTTATCAGGACTTTAGAAAATCTCAAAATGGTGAATTTACTCAGTTGCAAAAGTTTGCATTTTTAGCACGCCAATAAACTGATATTTTATTGGAGAAACGTTTTGTTCAAATTTGAGCATTTCCTAGTCTTTATCATCAACTTTGTTGAAAAAAAAATGTTTGCAATGAACAAGATGCTCCATATATTCTGTAGTTACTGACGTCTGCAATTATTTCCTTCCTTTATCCTGACTGATCCATTCGTATGATGAGATTATTCATGATCCATTGTAATCAGCTTGAGCTTATAGAAGTGAAGACTGGATGCTAAAACTGAATTGGTTTCAGATGAACGTTTTCATGTTGTTGTTTTTCGTTTTTGTCCACAGAGAAATGAGTTCTTCTCTTGCAGGATTTGCATCGCATCAAAACTTCACTTTCGAATGACAAAAGCTGGCATCATAGCAGGAGTTTGTATACTTTCGAGAACCACTGTGCTTTGTGGATCAAATATGTGAATACATATCTCTCTCTTGTATTTACTTTTTAACCAATCATTTTGTTTCTGTAAGATCATTCCACGCTGAAATAACAATTGGATTGAGGATGTAAACCTCTGAATGAAACTTTGTGTATTTTTAGACATAAAGGATCATCTAATTTTCTCCCCGCTGCGTTTTTTGCATCGTATTAGTTTATCCAAAGTCAGGGATACACGATGACAACGGTGACAAATGGTGATATTTTATTTTTTTTGGTTTGTTTACAGCAGAAAACGGCCTCCACTCCTCTGACCGAAGCTGCACAGATTGAGACAAAAGCCAGGCGGCTCGGACAGCGAGACGTCGATGAGATTTTGAAGCAAGCTGGAGCGTTTTGTACTCGATTTACAGCAGGGTTTTTTTGTTTTCTATGACATCCACGGTGATGGAGTAGATTCAGTGTGAGAACCGGGTGATCCGTCATCTTGCCTCGTCACACGTGGCCGGCTCACACCTTGCAGATGTTGCATTTTAAGCAACCCTGAAATTCCTCTCCTTCTGATTTACAGGAAGACTAAACCTTTAGAGGGAAAGTGCTTCAGCTGTCAAGTCGCCGGCGCACCGACTTTGCAACTCCAGTCCATCTCGGCGTTAGCTCGCTGACAGCAAAGGCTTGGAAATTGTGCAGCAGACCGATCTCTCCCAGCTGGGGAAGTATTTCAGTCTGTTCCGATCTGTAACCATTATTCAACCCCAAATCTGCTTAGGTAAGAGGACGCAGAGATCTCAGCCGTCCTGAAAAATTGGCTTGGACAGCCAAACTAGCAGACAGTAGGGTTAGAGCTAAGTGTTTCATCAGCGGTTTGAGTGGCTGTGGGGGCGGGGGAAGAAAAAAGGTGCCTGGATTCAGGGAGAAGGTAATTTTTTTTTTTTCACTCAAGATCCAATTTTATGTCTAATGCATACTGATGTGGGTATGAAAAGCCCAGTCTGGGGATGGCTTAGCACATGTTGAGTCCCAGTATTGTCTCTGTGCCAAGATCGTTAATCAGCAAACAAGCCGTCTTAAAATGTGAACGTCTAAAGTTTTTAAAGTGGGAGCTATTATGTAATGTCAACTTTTTTTTTGTCAAGCTTTATATCATGTCGTCATGTGATTCCCTCATGCGTGTTTGAGTCTCCCGTAGCCCCGCCCATTTTCACAAAGCTCCTCCTTGGAGCTCTCCTCTCTCATTACACCCTCCGCCCGCACTTTACCCACTCAGCACCTCCAGACTAGTGGCAGCAGCAATTAGAAAACACTTGGTGGAACTGCGAGTCTGAACTGCTTCTCACTCCAGCGCTCCTCAGAATGGTTGCAAACGCCATTAGGAGCGTTGTGATGACGTGCTGAAGGCGGAGCGTCGAGAAGACCGGGAGATTCTTAAAGCGACAGAAGCCCGATTTTAAGGTGTCAAAAATAGGAAGTTTTGTTTCTTTTAAGTAATGTTTGATATGTACATCATTTTCAAAACAGCTGAACGTAACAGCAGCTTCTTGACTGTGTTATAAAATTACAGGTTGTGTCTGGAAAACACATAACATATTAATACCCCTTTAAAGTCCAATGGGAAAATAAAATCAGCATCCTCTTTCCAGTAACTTCTAAGTCGATCTAAGAGTCCCGACAATTCCTCAGTGAGTATTTCTTCAAAGCCTTGAAATAAAGTCATTTCTCCTGCTCTACGCACAAAGCCCACTTCTGTTTTGCCTGCGAAGTATAACTACAGGTAAACTGACTGGAGGGCAGAGTCACAACATTTTGCCCACTGGGGAATTTAAAACCTTGGACCTTAATATTCCCAGAGGAATATCACAGTGAAACACCGACTGCACAACTGAGGAAACGTTGTCTGCTGCTTGGCATTTCACAAGGTGGAGCAACACTTCACATAGGCAAAAAACTGAGTTGTCCAACATGTTTCTTATATCTATGGATTATGACGCACATACAGTACATATCCATATCACATTCTTCATCAACTCAGCCAAAATATTGGTGTCACTTTGAGATCAGTGAATGATCCTCAGAGTTAGTGTTGGAGTGAATTAGCCAAAAGGTTTTGTTTGGTTACATTTCTCTGACATGTCTACTATGTTATTGTTGTGGTTTGCATTGCTGCAGTTGCTTCAGAGTTCTTCAGTCACTTATTATTGATCGCCTTACCTGAAACGTTTTCACACTGAGATAAAATCACATAAAGATGTTTTTTTTATTTTTATTATTGTTGTCAAGATCAAGGCAGCTAAGTAAGAAAAGAAATATTGCTACACTTTGCAGAATTTAACATTTAGGGGGAAAAAAACTCTTATCTTTTTCTTTCCGCTCATACGTTTGTGCTACTATGTGTTGAATTAGCAGGTAAAGCAAATGTTGACGTTTGTGGCGGTAATCTGATGAAATCCAAAGGATTTTAAGAGTACTGTTGTCCTTAACACAGCCAATGACTCCTGGAGTCAC